CAAAACCCAAATTCAAGCGAATATAAGTTGCACTCATTCCGTAAGTATAAAAGTCAATCAACTCATATCGTATCGCATCACTCGGACCCTTCTTTTCTTTCAGGGGGCGCACCGGGTTGCCCGGCCTCCCCAGAAAGTAGCAACACGGTACGTTCCCACTCAAGACCAGAGATTACAAGTCGACCAGCGGGATGCCCGAGATGGGGCACGAGCACTTAACTCGTAATGCACCCGAATCAACAAGTGCTCTGAACTCACCGCGTGACGGGTCGTCTGAAGGATTGGATGCGGAAGGGACCCTTGTCCAGTATGTCCACGATGGACCATGTTTCTCACAGCGTTCCCATGTGAGAAGCAGCTCTCGAAAGTGATCACTGTTAGACGTTCCTCGCACAAAGCTGAGAAGGACAGCGTCGTTGTCAACGAAGAAAAGGCAATACTGTCCAGACATGTACTGGTGGAAAGCCTTGCGTGCCAGGGCGACAGCGTACGCCTCAACGGGTCCGATAATATGCTTCAGATGCTGCCTCCATCGGTCTGCCAAGGCACAAGGAACTTCGCAAGAAAAGAATCGGGGCCGCGCATCAGAAGGAGAGTAAAGAATACCTCCAACGGTGTTGCCAGACTGTTCGCTTGCTCCGTCCGTGAAGATCAAAACAGGCTTAGGGGCAACCACACAAGGGACTACCCTAGGGGAACCGAAAGAGAGGCGATCAATGAGAAACTCGAAAGCCTCGATCTCGCGGGGACCCAGAACAAACCGGGAGGCGTGGCGTGTGGAAGCGGCTCTCAGCTCCGCCAATGCGAGCTTGCCGGTTCTCCCCATGACTTGCGCATCGGAGAACTGGACACGACCTGCAACCCTGGCAAAAGTACGCATCTTGATGCAACCTTCACTGATGCATTCACGGATGGCATCACACACCTCACTGGATCGGCCTTCCTTGTTCCTAATCCGAATGACCCCTTCCCTGGCTCCTTTCAAGTCAATCTCGACCCCAAGCATGGAAGCGACGTCTGCAAATGGGCTCAGTTTGTCAAGGGATGCGGAAAAACCAAGCACTGAGGACAACACAAGCAAGGTGTCCATGGTGGAACCTGAAAGACAGCACGGGCTCATCACTGGATAATCGTCAACGAAGTTGGCCCAGAACAAGAAGACTTCCAAACCTATCCGCCACAGCAACCTAGACAACCTGTTGAAGTGGAGCACGGACGATGTGCTTCCAAAAGGCAGAGCCTTACCCTCAAACAATCCCAAGTCGCCATTATCCGGATTGAGAAGGGCAACGACGGAGAAGGCACGATGGCTCGGGTTCAACGCAAATTGGCGATAAGCATTCTTCAAATCAAAGGTGCACAGCTCAGGACACCACGACGACCCCGCCCAAGCAGGGTGCACTCGACCAACCAACGGTGGTCCGCTGGCCATGTCCAGAAAGAATTGATGCTCCGTCGTGTGAGCTCGGATCCAAAAGCGACATATTGCAATGATCTCGTCAAGTGCCCTTAGATCTAGCTTATCCCCATAAGAAAAAGAACCGTTAACTAAGTTCTCAGAGTAGTCGTCAATCGGTCTCAACTTGCGCTTGCCTCCAGAAGATTGAATCACGGCGAACCGGCGCACAGGGGCCCATGCGTCGCCGTACCTTCTCGTCAGCTCTTCTTCGGTAAGTGGTCCCTCCAAGAACCCTTCGGCAACCTCAGTCAAAGTCTTATCCCACAGTTCAGAGGAATGCTCACTCAAACCCTCGGACAAAACCTTCCCCAAAAGCGCCGGACGGATGTACTTACAGGCCTTAGTAAACTCGTCAGCCGTCCTCTCCTGGGGACGAGGCTCCTTTCTAAAGACACCAGTGGGCTTCTGCCAACCAACCAAACCAAAACCCTTACAAGTATCCTCAAACCATCCATCGTCGGGCCACTTCAAGTCATCAGCAATGCGCTTGAGCAAGAGAAGCCTTTTTGATCCTAACACAGACCTCACACCAGGTTCGAGGCCCTCCTTAAGTCGGGACTCTGGTTCCTCCAATTCCTTGGCCCATTCTAACCACTTGTTGAGAGTGGCCACACGTTGCCTACCAACCCACTCAGGGCCCTTCACCAAGGCCTCATGAAGCTTTCGTTTCACTTCGTCGGGGATGACAGCAAACGTCTCGAAGGGATGCCGTAATCCTTTGGCCTCCTCCAGAAACTCATCCGGTGTTGCATACACACCAACACTAATTTCGAAGCCACCCGACTCCCCCGTCTCCTCAGTGGCGAGAAGTTTGGAGCCTGCGGGGATGTCACCGATGGCGTGCTGCAAGCAATTTTTATGATCCACAGGCGGAATCTGTGGCACACGACATCTGCAAACGCGACCAAATTCTCTGATGAGGCTCGCACCAAGTTTACCCCGACGCTGCTGTGTGACAGGCGGAGGGCTGGACTGCAGCGGAGACGAAAGGGGGTCAAAGCCACAGTGTTTAGCCACGGCGTGGGCAACCTGCTGACAGAAAAGCCTGGGATGAGTATCAACACCGCCAGTCACAGGCGTGTGACTGTGATTACCATGGCACACTTGTTGTAAACACTTTAGTGCACTACAAGACGTTAGCAGTTGCCTCCGCAAGCGATGCGGAGAATCGAAGGCACACAAATCGTACACAACGGTAGTGGTGTTGGTGAGCTGGCGCACAGCAGGCACATGCCACAGGAAGCTGGAATGCGGATGCTCAATGGACCAGGCGATGCCCATTTGTTGAACTCGTTTTAAGAAGGTGATGACATGTTCCAACAAGGAGTCGGCCAATGCGAGCCTTTGAACCTGAGAGGCGTCGGCGCCTCCTACAGGAACGACAGATCCATGGGACAGTCGTCGGAGGCCCTGCTTAGGTCCATAGGTGGCATACGGCAAATCAATGTGCACGTACCGAACATGATAGTTGTCGAGCACATGCGAAAGATACTGCCACGAGCTCGGCAAGGCAAGATCCAGTGAGCACAACTTGGCCAACGGAAGCCGGTGACTTCCCCTATCTATGGGCATGACCTCAAAGCCAATCTGATGAAAGGCTCGGGACAAAGAGCCTGCACGGGCAAACAGCTCGAGCACAATACCAGGCTGGTCAACCGGCTTGGCCTGAACCTGACCAGTAGACACTACGGAATCTGCTACGGGGGCTAAACCCGACTTGGAGGAAGCTAGAGGCGGGGAAGTCACTGGTTGTGCGAGGACGAGTGGTTTTGGAAACTCATCAGTAGCACACCCCCCGGTAACGACCGGCGCTTCATAGCAAACCGGAGGCGACTGTTCGGCATCAAGAATGTCGGCTTGCATCGGGAGCTGAAATTCCAACTCGGTCAGTGTAGCACTATCAGTTTCACTAAGGTGATCAATGGCGGAGACTGAAAAAGCAACTAACACCACTCTATCACCCGACCAATTCCTAGTGGCGTGAGTCAACCGTCGAGCGGTGAAGACGGCATGACTGCCATCCAAGCTGAGTTCGACTCCACTGCGTAGTTCGCCATCAACATCGCACCAAGCTTGGCCGCCTGGTCTCTCAACCCACACCTGTCCCTGATCGAAGTCAGACAGTGCACACACAGCATTGGGCAAAGAAGAATTATGCGCATCCACATGAGGTGTGGTTTGAACGTTGTGAAAGAATGCTAAGCTCGTGAACTTTAAGCTGGGCAGCTGCTGTCGCACAAAGCGCGCGGCCAACTTTGTCACATTCGGGAAGAGCAAGACATTACGTCGCAGCCCAACCTTGACTCTGCAATAGGCACCTGTCGAGAAGGAGACTCCTTGTGATGGGTCACCTCGGACGGAAGCCTCTGTGGGGAGTGATTGGAATATCTCAAGTAAATCAGTGGGGGAAACAAAAACAGCATTGTTCAGCAGGGTCAGAGCTCGATCCTCGACCGAACCCTTGAATTCGTGATCAAGACTTGCGCTACTGATCGACTCAATTTCATCGATGGCCTTGACCTCATCAGCCTGAAGATTGGTTTGAAGTGAGACGCGTGCAATCTTGGGAGCAGGAGCCTGGGCCCCTAGTCACTCGGTATTGCGCTTTGGGCAGTTGGGGTAGAAGTGCCCGGGCTGGTAACAAAAGCAGCAAACGTGAGCACCCCTGAAGCACTTGTTGCCCGTCAATTGCCTAGTGCATTTGCCCCTCTGGGCATCAAAGCAAATGGGCACTCCTTTCGGGGTGTTTGCGTGCCCGTCCTTTAGGTCCTCTGGCATGGTCACCTCGCGGCGCGACGGTTGCTTACCCTTACCAGAACCTTTGCCCCGACCTTTGCCACGGCCATACGGAGTGGGTCTTTCAAAGGGAATCTTAGCGGGAGGAGGCGACGCGAGAGGAGCGAGCAAATGAGACACCTCGGTCAAATCGGCGCAACGCATCCACGCCTCGTCCAATGCACGACCGGTCTCCGTGACTTGCACTCCACTGCGACACTCATTAGCAGCGGTGACAAACAATTGCTTATCGGCTTGAAGCAGCTGCTGTATGCTGACTCGAGTGTATCCCGAAGGCACCTCACGATATCTGGAGTGCAACAGGCGCTCAGCCCATTTCTCATGTTCTTTGAAACCTAACAATCCGGCCTGTTCCATTGCGAGTCCTCGCCGAGTGAGGGCGAACTTCAGTAACAAGTCAGTGCTCAAGTCGGCCTCACCTCGAATGTCGGCGTTCTTGATGTGAACATTACCGCTATTGTCAACTGTGAGGGTACGATCCTCCTTGTCCCGGGAATTCCGAGTCTCATCGTCCTTGCTCATGCACCAACTCAACGGAAGATATGTAAGGCGATTGTTTTCATACATTTGACAACACTTGTCCACTGACCTGTCACTCGGTTCATTAGGCCCGGCGATAGTCAAGCCTGGATACCGCAGCACTTGACGAGCCAGACGATCTGCTCGGTCAGGAGCGGCAAGGCTCCTCGCTGGTGCATCGGTGGTGCGCTCAACCTGAGATTTAAGCTCGGCCGCGACCAAAGCAAAGGCCTCAGAGTGCAATCGGCGCAACACCGAAGCTCCCCCACGGTAGCATCCCTCTTCAACAAGTCCTTTATGGAAGTCACAAAAGGACCCTCATCGCTCTGACCCGGAATGAAGCTGCTCACATACGCAAATTTGGCAAGAGTGTTGACGCCACCATCGACAAGCAGCTGAAGCACCTCAGCTTTCAAGCCGAGTTTCGCAGCCCGGGAGCTAAAATTGGCCTCACTCTCAGTAATACTCATGGTTCCAGCTTGAGCCGACCTGACTCTCGCGAACCCATGCGGTCCCCATCGTTGTTGATCACAACGATTTGCAAACAACTCTCTACCGACACTCACACATCGCAACGTCGCTCAAGAATTGTTTCGCCTCCAACTCGTGTCGCGTCACCTTCAAAATCGCGATGCCACTGACATCCCAACACCGTGACACGCAGGGCCCATGGGCACACCGCACCGATGTGAAGTGTACAATCCTTGGCGCTGGCACGGTACACTGTTGCAACAACATGTGGACAAAACGCACGGGGCCGACACGGCACACCGTGATCACGCCAGGACCGTCCCTTTCACATCATCAATGTTCTGTCGTGGCGGGGTCTCGCTGACACACCGTTGACCCGACATGTGATACGACTCGGGGCAAAATGCACACCGGTGACATTCTGACGCGGGGATAGCACACCGGCCATCGACCTCGGTCGGGGCCGCAACGGCACACCGTCCTCAGTATCCCTCTATGTCACGCTCGCCAAACACAAATCTCAGCTCTGATCCCCTCTAACCTGCTCTCCAACAAGCAGGCTCGACACTGGAATCTGTTTTGACAGAGTTGAAGCACCTGGCACACACAGGGTACAGAAACGATGGAACAGCTGCCACCTTCTCGTAGTTCTTCGTGCATGTCCTGCCGCAAGATAGAGAAGTTCCGCCCTCGTCGGCAATCAAGTGCAGCATGCGTGAAGACCGATTGCGAACCAAGTGCTCTGCCTTCAACTCGCGCTTAGGCACTTCCTCACACCAATCATCCACGACCCCGTCCAGCGCTCGCTCGAGCTCCTGACAATCGGTCTCGGCATCCTCTTCATCAAGAGACGCCTCTGAGGAAGCTTCGTAGTCGTAGCTGGCGTTGGGTCCGCCGTGGGGAAGTACCCGCTCCGGGTACTGTCCGGAACAAAAGTCCCTGACCGAATGGCCGCGAGGACTTTCTCGAGCACCCTGACCGATGCCGATACGGCATCGCGGCTGTAGACTTGGGCGCTGCGGTCGCCCGGAGCCGTGTGATACCCCAACACCCTCTGATCATAGCTGTCGATGCCGAATCTGGCACACCAAGATAGACAAGTCGCTTTACATGAGTGCGTTCCAATAGGGGAACACTGAGCCTCAGAAAATCCGCACTTGCGGAGCACGTTCCTCAACCATCCAGCAGCGACCGAGGCACTCGGAGGGTGACTAGCCCAGTGTCCGGTGGTCAAAATCGCCGGCAGGACGGGAAGCCCCTCTCCAACAGGGACGTTCAATTCCTTTCTCAGCATGGACCACGCCTGGAACCAATCTTCGCCAGAGAGACCCTTGCGTGGACACACCATCGGCAGCAGCTGAGTTTTCCTCTCAGTGGTGTAAGATGTCTTGCTGCGTGCGATGTCGGCCTGAAGGTAGCCTCCAAGCCCAGACGGGTCGACCTGCGGCTTGTCCTCGCTGACATTGTACATGTTCTGTGTATCAGAATACCTGGCCCTCATAAAAATCGAGAGCAAGAAGAATCCAGCTATGAACCGATCAATGCGATCCCCATCGGGGGAAACTATAAACCTCTCAAGTCGCTGTACCATCTCAGTCGACAACGGTGGGCGCTGGACCCTCTTCCGCTTTGTCAAGTAGCATGCCCTGGCCACACCACTCAATCTCATGCTAGCCATCGCCTCCTGAGCGCTCTCCGTTCCAAGAATGAAGAAACAAAAGGTCACCGCGCTCAGGAAGCTTTTGAGGAAACTCGGCGAGCATGTATGTTCGCACTCACAAGCAAACTCGTACACGTCAGCCTCCTTGAATGGAAATGCCAAGACTGCATGCCTATCAGCCCATGCCACGTATCGTATGAGCGGATCAGCCCGACTGTGCAGAGTTCCAACTGCCTTACCTGCGAACACATGTCGCAGCGACCTTGACACTTGGACCCCCGCAGGTGCCAGTGACGTGACCTTCCGACCCACATCGAAAGACTGAGGGCTCCTGAGTACAAGAGCAGTCCACTTCCGAACGGCCGCCACCAGTCTCTTCTCGGTCTGGTTCTCCCAAGAAATATCATGACGTACACGAGAGAATCGATGTGCAAAAGAGACAGCCGGCTGTTTGGGAACCGGAACAGAAATGTTGCTGCTCACAGGAATGAGGGGTAGTGGCCCCTCCCCAAAGGTACACTGAAATCAAGCAAGCTATTTCGAAATTCAGGTGTTTCCCAAGGCATCCTAAAAACCGAGCCCTGAGAAGTTCGCAAACATGTGCTGAGGTGAGCATCGTACCAGCCCGGGCTATCTGATGGTTAATTCACTGAGTGCTGCTTCTTTGCTATCTGTCGCTTGTTTAAGGGTAGCTGGATTTTGCCATGAGCGACATGAACTGCTCAAAAATGTTTGCTTGCGGATTCGCAAGCTGCCGGTGGCTTGGCATGTCGGGATCAAGATTATGGTTCGAGATGTGACCGGAGATGTTGAAAGGATGCCGATTTCGGTGTCGCGATGGGAATTATATAAGACAGACAGCAACTGAATTTGTTTTTTTCGTTTGTGCAACGGAAAGTTTAGTGGCATTTCGAGTGTGTAACATACATATAAACATGTCGTCGCCGACAGAAATGAAATTTGAATTTCGGTGCCTAAAAATGATTACGAGTATATGTTGCCGGCGGGGACATGTGATATACTTTTACATATCCTATATATATATATATGTATATATATATATATATATAGTAAAGTGTGTGTCTCTTGCATCTCTCTCCTGTGTGTGTGTGTGTGTGTGTGTGCATGTGGGTCAATGTGCATGCATGTGGGCCAGGGGGCTGCGACTGAACATCGCCCGGCAATCGCACGCCTTTTATATTCAGGGCCCTGGACTTCGCACATGCTGCCTTCGGATCAGGAGCTCCCTGGGGACTCCTAATGTGTTGAAGTGATCGATGCTAATGCATGCAAGAGCAGAAGAACATAGAAGCACTGCAGCATAGATAGGAACCATGGATCCGAGCGCAGCCATGAGCAAACGTGAGCAGAAGACGGCAGAGATAGCCCAGTCGCTGTACAACCGTCTGGACCTCCAGTTTGTTGCGTCGACAGGGAGCCTGTTTCCTACTACGTCGCTACGGCACCGAGCAACTCGAGAGATGCTTTCGTTTATGCGAGTGTTCAAGTACGAGGGTGTGGAACGACTATTGACAGAAGCTATGTCCCGAAGAGTATTGCAGATGCTGCTGGATGACTATGCCTTGCAGTTACCGGAAACTCCAGGAATGTCCAGATCCAAATGGGTCCAGCAATCGGGCAAATGTCTACACATGATGCTTAAGAAAGCTAGAAGGGGCTCCTCTGGTGACGACGCCATGGACGACGATGAGACGCAGATCATGATCCAGGATCCCGACCTGCTGGACCCCTCGGAGGACCGTGGTCCTCATGCGGCCTTGCAACTTTATGGGTGTATGCCTTTGTTCATGCCTGGAGGACTCGCAGTGCTTGAAGCGGAAGGCCTCGAGTTCTGTTAGTGCAGCTTGGATTCAAGTGGACTTCCTTTTGAGATTGTGTCTCAACATGTACATGTGCATCTCAGCTTGGTGGCATCGTGCCGAGCAAGCGACTTCGGGGCAAGACGCCTCCAGTGCCTGTGGCGGCTCTATCATTCTGTGTTCGCTGTCCAACCCGCATGCATGCATGCAGCCAGTATTATATTATGCTGGAATCATATAGTTTCAGTACATGCAAGGAAGACTCTCGATCGTCTGATGATGCGGGCGATTGCCAAGAGGACGGCTCGAATTTTGTAGAGATATGTATATGGTATAATTCCCAAACCTAGTTTCAACACCTTGAACACGGACAGGACGATCAGCTGACCGAGCCGAATGATCTCGAGGCGGAGGCTTCAGCTCGGGTGTTTGTGTCTCTGGTGTCTGTTTATGTGTCCCAGGTCCGTGTACCGGAGGGTCGCTGGTGGTGCAACCAGGACAGTCGCCACGCATACGTGTACACTTGCTGTCTGCGATTATTGCATGCAGGACGGGCAATGGTTTTGCACGCCATGGAATGCCGAGGAAGCCGAGGCCTATCATCGATCCGCAGTTTTGGTGTTCTGAGTGTGGTTGTGAATTTCCAGGAAGTTTCATCGGAGACCCCCGCTGCTGATGACTTCTCATGGCCAACGGAATACTACGAACATGGGGTGCCTGACTTGCAAGAACTCCAGGCCCGCTAGCTTTAAAATTAATCCATTGCCACCATGGACATAAACTTAGTGTCGATGCAGGACGACCAGTTCCACGGCGACGGGGCGAAGACTGGAGAGGCCGATCTGTGCCACGCTGGCTCAGGAGTCGCATGGGTGGGTCGGTCATGTGGGATTTATATCAGGATGAACAGGATGATGAGGAGTACCAGGCCAGTTTGACGGCAGCCTTTGAACTCTCGTACGCAGTCTTGATTGACTTCGCAGGCACCCGAGACTTCGGAAGATGGTGCCAGGGACAAGGTCGGTTTTTTTTCGCAAGTGTCCTCATGCATTCATGTATAGATACATGCGAGGCTTGGAAGCCATCGGATGAATGGGAGAATCACGGCTCTGAAGGACATCGTGAGGTGTGGTTTGGGGTTTCCATTTGCAGCTGTCCTTTGCAGATTCATGGATTTGTAGGCTCGGAATCCCTGCACTTGGTGCGGTGAACAGGATGAAGCCCAGGCAGGAATTGGGATGTAAAACTGTTAACTTTAAGTTCGTAGACTGCTGTGCAGGCCCGGGATGATTCCGGTGGAGATGATGTCGAGGTACATATGGGTTCGTGTCGACAAATGGTGTTGTTGTGCATTAATTCTTGTGCAGGCCACAGAAGCCCCATCGGATGAGTGGGCTCGCGATGCTGGAGAAGCTGTCGAGGCATGGGTTGGTTTCGGCAAATAATTGTTGTCCGGCTCGTGGATACAGGCCACGAAAAAGCCGTCGGATGAGTGGGATCTCGATAGTAAAGATGTCGAGGCATGGGTTGGTGTCGGCAGTTTGGTGCTTCGTGTCTGGCTCGTATATATACACGGATTAAATACTTCTGCAGGTCATGAATGAGCCATTGGAAGACTGGGAGGATGGCCCCGGAGAAGATGTCGAGGCATGGGTTCGTGCTAATTGTCAGGCTCCTAGAGTATAATTCTTGGTTAGGCCACGAATGGGCGATCGGACGAGTGGGAGGATCCAGATGGAGAAGAGGTCGAGGCACGGGTTCCTGTCGGCATATCATTGTTGTGCAGGCTTATAGATTCTTGTGTAGGCCACAAAAGCGCCGCCGGATGAGTGGGATTGCGATCACTTTGGAGAAGATGTCGAGGCATGGGTTGGTGTCGGCAAATAATTGTGTTGTTGTCAGGCCCCTAGACTATACTGATTCTTTTGCAGGCCACGGATGAGTGGAAGGATCCCCCTGGAGAAGAGGCAGAGGCATGGGTTGGTGTGGGTAGAGGTGTTGTGGAGGTTTGCAGATTCTCGTGCAGCATGACGATGAAGGTGTGGTCCATGTGCAGATATATCCTGTGCAGGCCACGACGAAGCCATCGCATGAGTGGGTCGAGGATCCCGAATGGGGCGACGAGGCATGGGTTGTGCCCTATATAAGAGCACTGTCGTTTTTATAGGTTTGTGAGAGTGTGTACAGATTCCTACGCAGGCCACGAAGAATCAGTTGGAAGAGCATGAAGAAGATGAGGCATATGGGTCGGGAGCAATAATTAATAGAAGGTTGGGGTTCGCATATGAAGTCCTATATACGCTTGCAGGCCATGAAGCCATGGGCTGAGTGGGTCGAGGATCCCGCTGAAAGGGGCGACGAGGCATGGGTTGGACTGTGTGTGTGTGTGTGTGTGTGGCCCTTTATACGCAAATGTCTGTGCAGGCCACAAAGGCATCGGATGAGTGGGTCGAGGATCCCGCTGAAGGGGGCGATCAGGCATGGGTTCGGCTTTCTGTGTGGTCCTCTATAGGTTCGCATTAATTTCTGTGCAGGCCACGAAGGCATCGGATGAGTGGGTGGATCCCGCTGGAAGGGGCGATGAGGCATTGGTTCGGCTTTCTGTGTGGTCCTTTAAGCTCGTAAATTTCTGTGCAGGCCACGAAGGCATCGGATGAGTGGGTCGAGGATCCCGCTGGAAGGGACGATGAGGCATGGGTTCGGCTTTCTGGGTGGTCCTTTAGGTTCGCATTAATTTCTGTGCAGGCCACGAAGGCATCGGATGAGTGGGTCCATCCCACTGGAAGGGGCGATGAGGCATGGGTTCGGCTTTCTGGGTGGTCCTTTAGGTTCGCATTAATTTCTGTGCAGGCCACGAAGGCATCGGATGAGTGGGTCCAGGATCCCGCCGAAAGGGGCGATGAGGCATGGGTTCGGCTTTCTGTGTGGTCCTTTAAGCTCGCAAATTTCTGTGCAGGCCACGAAACCATCGGATGAGTGGGTCCAGGATCCCGCCGAAAGGGGTGATGAGGCATGGTTTGCAGGGGACTGACAAAGGTGTTGCATGTCGATCTATACAAATACATGTATAATATATATATATATATATATATATATATATATATATGTATATATATATATATATATTATATACATGTATTTGTAGATATGTATAGGTACGTATATACGGATCCGTATATACTATAAATATAGAAATATATAAATATAGAACAAAATAATCGGTCGCAGGCCACGGCGAAGACACACGACTATGTCGAGATAACATCGGACGAGGAGGGTCGAGGGCGATCTGTGTGTATATTCATGTACACCTACAACTATATTTATTTTTTTAGATCCTGCGTTTTTGTCAGGACGCCGGAGCATACGACTGGTCGTCTGATGGCCAGCCCTGGCTACAGTGGGACGCTGGCGATGCATTTTGATATAGGGGTGCGAGTTTAGTATACCGGCACGCCATATTTTCGCATCTCATGTCCAGGAACCATCAAGCAGCAGTGATCAGTGGCACGGCGGCGATTACCCCGAGGATGCACCAGCCAAGGCCGGTGAAGAAACCCGCATTCAATGCAGAGGTTCTAGTTAACATGCTGAGCTGATAGGCTCTCCTGAAAGAAATGGACAGTTTGATTGAAACCTGCGAGACAGCCGCTCGTTTCCGAATAACATGTGTCTGTCTTCAAATTGCAACAGTCATTTATCGCAGGCCAAGAGGAAAGCATCCGAGAACGCTCGGGTGCACCAGAATGTCGTGAACTTGATCGTCACTCGGCGGCAACGATTCCCACTTGTCTTCTGCTTGACTGTGCATACATGTCACCTTTTGTTTGAATCACATACCCCCAGGAGAAGAACATTGAGACCCTGGGTGCACCCGTCGAGGAGAAGACTCTCGGATTGTATACCCTATAAACCCCCAAACCCTATACAGTGGGGCGATGCAATGGTT